CCCTAAACCCTAAAACCTGAACCCGTGGATCAAACGTTTGAGGCTTCGGCCTCAAGACCTTGAAGGTACTCTCGAATCGTCTCCTGCCAGGAGCGGGGCACAAAGGGAACACACATGGCTTAGGGTTTAGGGTTGGCCTTACAACAAGGGCTTTCAGGTGGGGTTTAGGGCATATCCGAGGGTTTCAAGCCGTTCGTCCGGATGTTTAGCTTTCCAGGGTGGCCCGTTTCAGGTTTGGAGTGAATTATGTTGTTGGCATGTCGATTCCTCGCCAGGCCATGGAGTCCTAGAGTACATGGTCCATTCTCTGGGGGGAGGGAACGGGCAGCGGTGCGTCTCACGATTTTGGTTGGAATTCGGTTTGTCCCCAGTGGCTCGTGGTCCCCAAATTTACAATGCGGCCGGCTGTGGCTGCAGGGCGTGTGTCTCGAGGTTCAGCGAGTGGGAATGGTAGGCCCCCCAAACACTACTAATGTTGTCGATGGAGCGTGGCGAGAGACTCTTCCAAGGATTAAACTCCGTAAACTCTGAAAGCCAGGAACTCAACCCACAGCCGTCTATCCCATGACCCCAGTTGGAGGATCATAGGCAGGGACATGACTCGGGCATCTGTAGGTGACATCACATCATAGGTATAGATGGAAACAGTTGAAGAGCCGCACTGGTTAGCTTGAGGTGAGCAGTGGCTGCCGAAGGGTACTTTAGAATGCAAGGTTGACCAATGAAGGCCACCCGAGCCGTCTACGATCCCCTTTCACCTGTGTAAACAATTGCTGTGAAGTTTTGGGGCTGCCAACGTGCAAGAAGCTCCTCAAGTCCTCCGCTTTCTTTGAGTTTTCCTACTCACAGTGAGTTTGGGGACGTGCGAGAGCTTTGCATGGGGCTGCCCAAAAAAATGAACGGTGCTGCGCCCGGTGCCTTCGCCCTCGAAGGGGAGAGGAAGTGATCTAACTCAGAGTTGAGCAGCCAATCCTCGAATAGCAACAGGTGTTTTAGGCTTTGGGTCTTGGGGCTGAGAGGGTTCAAAATCTGCTGTCATTCAGTTGTGTTACTCCTTTCTGCTTATTTAATTCTTCAGTCTGTTGCGGCGCTCTGCCTGAGGTGCTGGGGCTCTAACTTAGCTTTCGGGCAGACTCTTGAAATGCGGAGCCTTCGGTGGTAAACAATCTTCCTGTGTGATTAGAAAGGGGTTGTGGAGGTTTCTGCGCTACGATCTATTCAAGAGTCTACTAACCATTCGGCCTCAGAAACCATTGGCTGGCTCATGCGTCCTAGCCCAAAGTCAAAAGCTTACCCAGATCGAGTCATCTGGTGTTCCTTGACAAAACACTAGGGGCCTTAGTAGTTTGAATGAGGTCTTCGACAGCGTGAATATACTCAGAACCCACAGAAAGAGTCTCATCTTTTATCCAGGACAGTGAGACTGAAGTCCAAAACCGCAGAACCCTCGAACAGAAACCTGAACCCTAAACCCTGGACCCTCAAACTTTAACCCGTTCAACCCTGTTTCCCGCCTTCCCCCCGCGTCCCTGAACCCTAAGCCCGAGTAGCACGAGCAATGACAGGAGCACCGAAACATCGGCTGTGGAACGTAAGGGTTTAGGGTTAAGGGTTTGGGGAACATCTCTTGACCGTGCCAGGATGCCCTGGCAGCAGGGCTTCGGAGTCAGGCATCAAGATTATGCTTATGTATGTCCTTTTCGCCCCTTAGACATTGAAACCCAAAATCCTACGCCGCAAAGTGGCGAAGCTCTCGGCGATTCCGGAGCGCAGCAAATGATCCCAGGAAGGCATTAACCCGGCCATGTTCCGGTGGTAGAGCCTTAGGTGTGCTTGGAGGATCATGGGACTTGGTAAGTAAGGTTATAAGTCCCTTAATTGGGGTTATAAGTATAGTTACCCTAATTATAACAATACTTACTAAGTCCCATGATCCTTTAAGTGGAGCTTGGGGCTTAGAGTTTCTGTTTCTTGTTTTGGGGGGGCTTTGGGATTTGGGATGTAGGGCTTTGGGTACAGGCCTTAGGGCTTTAAGATCTACTCTGTGGTGCTGGGGCTAGGTATGTTGGATGTTGCCGAGGAAGATGTCACATGGCGAGCACATACAGAATATTCTGGCAAAGTCATCATAATGACGATGGTAATGATGATGGTGGTAATGATGAAGACAGCATAATTTTTCATGACAATGAGGACGACAGCCGTGATGATGATGATGGTGGTACTGACAAAGGGAATGAACGAGATAATCATGTGTTCATGACAACTGCGATGATAACGGCAATGGTATTCAAAGTGCTGATGCTGACCCTGATGGTGATAGATGATGAACTTAACGATGGTGAGAGTGCTCATGGTACTGATAACAGCATTGCTAAGGACGGTAAACAACTCACCCTACTTCAGGACACAGCTGTAAAAGGCCTGAAGTGCTTGCGACCTTCAAACCGCAACTGAACAAACATGCAGACAGGGACTCAGTAAGCTACAGTATCCCGAACTCACCAACAAACAGACTTGCGAACGGTAGCAATGTGGATAACAGCACAACTAAGGCCAATGCCAATAGACATCATGAGCAAAAGTCATGACGATAAAATACCACAGTGTAGAATACCACAGTGTAGAACTACCAAAACTAGATCCAAAGACAACACTAGCACCAAATAAGACTATTCACAAGAAGAGCTGATAGACCCAACAACAACATCATCAACAACAACAACAACATCATCAGGATCAGTGTCTAGGGCTTCGTGGGGTGTCGGGTTGTTATGTTATTGCTCTGGCTGTTGTTCACCTACGAATCGCCCTCATGGCTTTTGGGCTTAAGGCTTTAGGTTTTCCGGGGCTGCTTCGGGCTCCGGGCTTGGGGCCGCTCGGCTACGGATTCCGATTGAGGGTCCCTAAACCCTAAACCCTAAACCCTAAAGTTGCTGCTCCTGGGTTGGGTTCCGGTTTAGTGGTACAGAGCCGTCCTACAACTTCGGCTCTAAGCCCGGAGCCTCGAACTGAAAAGCCAAAAGCATGAAGAAGCCCCGAAACCGAACGCACGTTTAGGGTTTAGGGTTTAGGGTCTAGGGCCTCTTAAGAAGGACCTAATCTCTCCCGTCGGTTTAGGGCTTAGGATTTCGGAGTTTCGGAAGCCACCCCTAAACCCGAGCACACTTAGACCCTTCAACATCTAAGAACCTCAATCCGAACAGCTTCAGGCAAAGAAATGAAGTTGGAAGCCCCTCACACGCTAAGATCGCTGTGAGACCCTAGCCTAAGTCCCAAAAAACCTGCATAAACCCCCCCCCCCACCCCCGGAGACCCCAGAACGAGGACTCCAAAGCAGCAAAGCCTACTCTAAAGGCATAAATAATTTGAAGAGGGTGCCGGGGTAAACTGTTATGTCAGCATCTAGCGACGATGAGGCGATCCTCTCACTAGCTTCTCAGACCTCCATATTGATGAAGCTCTACTTAAAGGATCATGGGACTTAGTAAGTAGGGTTATAACTAGGGTAACTATACTTATCACCCCGATTAAGGGACTTATAACCCTACTTACTAAGTCCCATGATCCTCCAAGTACCCCTCCCAATAGATAGAACGCCCAAACCTTGCGCTGAGGGATTCACCATTGCCCATGTGTCCGTTCCCTGGAGCACGCTCGATTGCGGGGCTTTGGGCTCTTCGGGGATAGGATGTATGTTTATACCGTTTATACCTCAGAACTTGTGGGTGTTGGACTCTAGAATCTAGGGACCCTAAACTCTAGACTCTAAACCCTAAACCCTGCAGTTTTGAATCTTGGGTGTTGGCTTTGGGATTCGGGCTTCAGGGTTTGCAGCTTGAGGACTCATGAGCACTTATGGGTCTAGGGCCTCGAGGACTCCAGGACCACAGTAGCCTTTAGGGTTTAGGGTTTAG